ATGAAGTTTCAAAATTCATATTTTATTAAAATTATGTCATTTTATAATATAATGTAATAATAAATATTTTATTCTGTATTTTAAAAATCATAGTGTTCGACCACTATTATAACCACTTTCGTTTTGCACTACAAGTTGAACAAAGTTTTGTTCATGATTAATGATAAATGATAAAACTAAGATGTAAATACTATGTTATTTGATTTCTAATAAACTTTAATTTTCTAGCCTAAAGCAATTAAAATATTTTCCTTTTTTACTTAATAAATTCAAAGTGTCTTGTTGATGTCCAACATTAGAAAAATTGTCCGGCTATAATGAAGCTGAAATTAGCAACCTGTTATCAGCACCCACTTAATTTTAGCATCGTTTTTTCATCGTGAACAGGTCCTATTACAGATCATGTTTTGAAAACATTATAGCTATTTATCATTTCAAGTAAAATTGAATAATGTAAGATAATATCCTTAAGTGTCCAACCACTAGTACATTTACCCTATAAAAATTTTGCGCAAGGAAATGAATTTTTAAACTTTCTTAAAAATTTTTATTTACTATTTCGGATCCGCCATTTTGAATTTATAAAAAATACCATTCGATTAGTCTTCAGCACCATAAAGAGCTATCCACTAATATATTTCCCGCAGAAAAACAATTGTTTCTGCTTTCTTGAGCTTTTGTCCGCCATATCGAATCCGCCATTTTAAATTTAACAAATAAAAATTTCGATTCATAATCAGCCACTCTAAAAATTGTTGAAAAATAAGTTTCAAAAATATTTACCTCGATTCCACCTTTTAATTTATAAAAGTATTTTAAAATTTTTGAATTTTTTGATAGCTATATTGGCATAAAAAGAGAAAATTTTAAAAAACGTCCATTCGAAGCTTAAATTATACGAATGTAGAAATCTTTCAAACGGTAGAATGTTCGAACGAGTTTTGATATACAGTTAAATAGAAACACTTAAGATATTGTCATCTCCAACTTATAAATTACAGCTGAACTGAAACTACTTTAGAAAGCAAGTTTTTTGTCCATGCATGTAACTATGAAATTATCCACTATTGTAATGAAAACTCCCGCTGTACGGTAAAGTAAAACACGTGAAGTATATATCAGGTAAAAGAGTCATAAAACTGAATATGTATTCAATTATTAAGGGATGTCCAACTTCTCCAAGGGAGAAAGAACCCAAACATTTATCAACAACAGGAACAGACAATAATGATTTTGAGTATCACATTATTCATCAAAATAATTAATTACACTTGATTAAATAAGTCAATAGCTCAGAATCAGATGAAATGGAAAATATGAAACAAATATTTATGTTTTAACAACGCCCCCTTTCTCGTCAAAGAAATAAGATTTGAGAAAGTTGTTAAATTGTCAAGATTTAATTGTTTAAAAATTTATAGATATTCAAACATATTGATCAATGCAGATAGCTAATCGAGAAACTTTCCCCCACATTAATGTGAAGATCACTTCAAATTTAATATATTCAACCTATTAATACAACATTCTTGAAAACAACTCCAGATTCTCATATTTAATCCTATCCAATTACAATCATACTTCAATGACAAACCAATTTTGTAGTGTTATTAAATTTTACCCACACACTTTTAATTACACCATAAATCTTCTTTAAATTAATTTTAACTTAACCCTTTTTTGTTAAAAATTAAAAGGAAAGATTTAATCCTACTTTCGTCCGTTTTGTTTAGAGCAAAATTATCAACAATATTTGCAGATAAAACTTCACCCTTGTTAGAGCAAAGCATGTAAAGCATTCGTCACATAGAAGAACTCTCCAACAGAAGATGTATTCAACTGATAATGACTGAATAACTTCTATAAAGAAAATCGAACCTAATATGCCAGTGACAACTATTATTACTGAAAATATATCAACTGCCACATAAATTAGAGTTGATCTTCAGTTGATCTACAATTTGGTAAGATAGTTGATGTGCACAGTTACTGCGAGTCAGGTAAAAAAGAAAATTTGTAACATTTATTTATGTTTAAATATCATTGTTTTCCGTACTTGAAAATTTAAATCACAATTCGAGCAATTCTAGATCGTGGCATTTTGCTATATTAGAAATTATAATCTACAAGCTTAATTATCTTAGATAAAATGAAACAGACATTAGAATTACTCTAGATTGTTGACAATCGACCCTTATTCCTTTCTTCACAACTATTATCTATAAATTCCCATTTTTTGGAGAAACCTTTACAAGGAAAAGTTTTTTGATGGTATAATTTAATAAGTATATTACCTCTGCGTTAATAATAGCAACTATAGTTACTATTATTATAAGCCAATATCATAAACATCTTCTTTTTCTTGGAAGATAGCAGCCCTCTTATAGAAGAGGTAGGAAATACTTTAAGTGAAACTGTTATACCTCTGCAAGTTATCGGATTTGTAATGAAAATACAGCATCCACTCAAACATTGAGAGGTATTCGTTTTCTTAATTCCTTCTGCCGTATGACTATAAGTTCTGCTGAAAAATTTTTCCTTGTAGCTAATTCCTTTTCTATATAATAATGAAAATTATCGCAAATTTACTTATTATATTGAAAATCATGAAACCTAGCATAATATAGGGGTTTTTTGTTATTTTGTTATGAAATATTCAAAACTTCAAATAATATTTTTGATATTGTTACGAGGTAAATTCCAACAATCTTGTAACCATTAAATGTCCCTTTTTTTCATGTAATCATTTATCAAATATCCAATATTCTATAATCAATTAAGTCAATAGTTTTAGAGAGAAATAAGAAAAATTAACTCTCAACAAAATTGTGAAATATTGATGGATCGTTTGAGTTGTTTTTTTCATACAAGTAGAAAAAGTATAATAAAATCTATTAATTATCCACCCTTTATAACAAATTTTTTATCATCTTGTTTATTTCAATAAATCAATCATTTTTTAATAATATTGCTTATATCAAAATAAAAAGATACATAGCAATTTTAATTTATTTTCTTGTGAATTTCTTAAAAATTGTGAATTGTATTATAAAATCCACTTAATTATTATTTTTCTACTGAAAAAATATATATATTTATTGATGTTCTATTTGTTTTTAAATTTTTCCGAAAAATAATTTTTTTTTTTAAATTCATTAAACACATTGTGCTTTTCTAAAAATTTTAGCTTTTGTTTAAAAATATTTTAGAAATTTCGAATATTTTTTAAATTAATATTATTTGTATTTTTCATTACGTTTATTTTGGTAATAGTATTTGCGACAATTTTTTGTTCCGATTTGGGGAATGAAAGCATCACTTGGAACTTTATTTTAAATACTGTTTAGTTCAATTTTTTTTGAAAATACAATCATTATTGACATTCACTTTCTTTTTCTAGTGTTTCACCAAAAATTTGGATCTGCCGAAAATTATTCAAAAAGTAGAAGAATTTTCAATATCCACACATTAGTCAATATTGGTTGAAGCTGTATTTTGAAGATAAGATTTACTTTATTAAAGTTCAATACTTTCTGATTATAGAAGATTAGAAAAGTGTAATGTGGTGCACTTATTTTGGAAGACTCCAAAATGGAAACAATTTTAACACGATTTTAAGAAAGTGACCTTAGAAGCAAAACACATTAAGGATGTGTCAAAGTTGTGAAATGTAAACAATGGGAATGTAAACAAATCGAAATGGAAAATCACAATTTGTTCACTAAGTCTCATTTCCATAAAAATTTTAATTTGTACATTTTCTTTACGAAAATCTAAAATTAAAGCATTAAAGTTGGTAACTATGCCGTATTTGAGTGCTACCCGCGTAAAAATGAAAGTATGGCTAAAATCTAAAAAAGTATGGGGTAAAGTTTTCAGCCAAGGTACGTAAGCCCCCAGCCATATTTTCAACTATGGACAAAAGCTAGAAAACCATTGCTTATGGCCGTATCCCATAGTTCATAATCGTCTTTAGACGGAAATATACTTTGGCCAAAAGCTAGCAAACTATGGCGAAAAAAATTTTTTTTTTTTAATTTTGGAAACTTGAACAACGGCTAGAAGCTTGCGAAGTATGGGAATTTTTTTTTAATTTTAAAAACTTAAAACATGGCTAGAAGCTATCGAAGTATGGGAAAATTATTTTTGAAAATTTTGAAAACTTTAAACATGGCTTGAAGCTTGCGAAGTATAGCGAAAAAAATTTATTTTATAATTATGAAAACTTGATCAATGTCTAAAAGCTGACGAATTATAGCGAAAATTTTTTTTTAAAGTTTGATAACTTTAACCGTGACTAAAAGCTAACGAAATATGTCGAATTTTTTTTTTATTTTTAAAATTTTAACTATGGCTAGAAACTAGCGAAGTATAGCGAAATTTTTTTTTTAATTTGAAAACTTATACCATATTGCTAGAAGCTGGCGAACTATGGGGGAAGGAAAATCGTTTTTTTTATAAATAGATATATTTTATCAGAAGGTGGCGAACTTTGAAGGAAAGATAAAATCGTATATATATTTTCTCAAAAAAAATTTTCAAATTAGTGGACCATGACTGGAAGCTGACTATTTAGATTCAGTTTCTCATCTGCTTTATTTTAATATATATTTATTTTGTTAACTTTCAATTATTTTGTTAATTTATGTGTCTATTTTCATTTTATAATTTTGTTTTTCTCCAATTTTCTTCAAATCACTTAATTGTTAGAATTATATTGTATAAAATAGAAAATCCCTAGATCTCGGTCAGAACCTGGAGAATTATAGAGAAAGGAAAAAATTTAATTTTAATCAAAGAGATTTTTTCATAAAAATTTTGAAATCTTGAATTATGGTCTGAAGTTTGTGAAGTATGAATAAAAGATAAATATTAGTTTATGTTAATAAAGAATTTTTTTTTATTATAAGGTTTTTAAATTTGGTCCATGGCTAAAGCGTTTAGGTCCGTGTGCGTTAAAAAATTTTTGTTTAAATAATTTTTTTAACTTATTAAATTATTTAAAAATCATTGTCCTCTTCTTCACTATTTTCGCCATTATTATCACATTTTTCCCCGCTACTATTCTCTTCATCTGTACTTTCTTCTTCGCTATTTTCATCACTTTCTTCACCTCTTCTAATGTCTCCATCATTTTTTTCCCAATCATTTGTACTCTCTTCTTCATTTTCATTTTTTATATCAATCGCTGTTTTTGAGTGTTTTTTAATATTTTCTTGTTTAGGGTTTCTTAATGTTCCGCATGTATTATTAATTAATTTTATTAAGTGTTTTTCTGTAAATGGTTCCTCGTTTGTTTTCTTTTTTTGTACGTATGCTAAAAAATATTAAACATTTCTTATTATAATTTTTGGTTTTAGCATTAATAAGTGATTATGAATTAGATTGAATTAATATTCTGTGAAGAGGTTTAAAATATTATGAGTGTAAAATAGAATATATTATATTTAAATTTGGTTAAAAAAAGAATGTCAAAACAAACTAACAATTTCAGTGTTTTGTAATGATTAATTAAAAAAAATACAAAAACTTTTGCATATCAGTCCATAAGTGTCGGGATATTTTCTTGAAGATATGGTGAACTTACAAAGGATTGCTGAACGTATATTTTCTGGAACTGCTGTTTTATTTCTGCTTCGCCCCAATGCGCACATTGATTTCAAATTTTCTGTTCCTATTAACTCAATTAGTAATGACCGCGCCATATCATTCGGTTTATTTTTATATCTATTTATCATTATTAATTTTGAGGTTTTTACAAAAACGTTGATGCCTTTTTTTAATTGAGTTCTTTGCTCAGTTATTGTCGAAGTTACTGAATGCTAAAAAATATTTTTAAAAATTATTTAGAATTTTTATAATTTTTTTTATCTACTTATACTTTTATTTTGTAATTATCTTTATGTATTAAAAACGACTGACTATGATAATTTAATATTAATTAATATTTGTTAACTGACTTGTAAATTTGATGATTTTCCATCCGAAACTCGTATTCTGAGGGTGTCTGTGACTCTTTCAAAAAACGTCACTGTATCTGGTGTTAGAACTGTAAAAAGTAAATTAATAAATATAACCCAAATTAGTTGGAAAATGTGAATATTTTGGCATAAAAATTTTTTCTTCCTCATAGATAAATATCTAATATGAATAAAATTGTTTTAAAAAAATGAAAAATTCAAATTGTTTTCAAATATAAAAATAATGATAAAATGTTTTTTTATATATAACAAGTATATATAAGTATATATTATATATAACAATAATATAATTTTAGGACAGTTCGTCAAAACGTTTTTGAGATAATTTGGTTGCAATTAATATGAGATTAACACATACTCACGTACATATACACATGTGCGGAAATTTGTTTAAAACTTCGAACACATTTTTGAAAAATTAGTTATCGTCACGAATACAAGGCTTTATCAGGAGGAAGCAAAATTGCAAAATATTTATATTAATTATACCTAAATCCTTAAAAAGATACTCCAAATCATCATTTTCAAAAGATTTTCCAAATTGATTGGTTGAAATAATTGCAGTTTCTTGGCCTATATCATAAAATTGAATTAAAAAATTGTTTTTTTTAATTTCAACAATATTAACAAAAAAAACTAATACCTAAGTTATTCGAAGAAGTGTTCTTTTGATTTTCAACAACTTTTACCTTTTTAACTGTGGAAAAAATTAGTGTTTCGTATAAAAATTGAAGATTTAATTTTTAAAACTATTTCAGGGTTTTAAATATTTATTATTTTTGATCATATAACTTTAATTTTTTTTAGATAAATGAAAGAATAGGGACATTTAATTTTAAAGAAAGAATTAAATAAATTTTTTTCGTTCTACCCAAATTTTGCTCTTGAAGAAGAATAGAATTACTTGATTGCCTCTTTCGAGTGGATTCCAGTCCGGGTACTATATCTGATATTTTAAAAAAAGAAAAATAATAAAATGTTAAATGTTTGTTAAACAATTAAATTTCCTAGTTTTTATTTATCATAAATAAATTATTTTTACCCATTTGTGATCCATTCTGTTTCTCAAATTTCCCTACATTTCCTTCATAACTATCATTATATTCTTCATCATTATCACTAAATTCTTTATCATTATCATTAAATTCTTCATCTTTATCTTCATTACTATAACATTCTTCATTTCTATTATTGTTTGTTACTTCTTTATCCATTTCATTATTTTCTTTTCTTATTACATCTTCTAATTCTGAATCTGTCGATTTTTTGACCAATTTTTTAATATTTTTTTCAAAAATTCTTTCTTCATTTTCTATCTTCCTTACTTTTGAAAATTCATTTTCTTTCACTATTTCCAATTTTCTTTTTTTCTTTTCAACATTTTTCTTTATAATATCATTCTCATTAAATTTCTTCTTTTTTTCACTTTCTTTTTTCTCCGTTTCACTTTTCTTCTCTGTCTCACTATCATTGTTTTTGGTTTCGCTGTTTTTCTTTTCTATTGTGCACTCTATCTTCTTTGCGTCACTCCCTATCTTTTTTTTATTTTTAATCTCGTTCTTTTTTTCATTTTCTTTTTTCTCCTTTTGTTCCCTCTTTTCTATTTCGCTATTTTTTTCCTTTTTTTCAATCCCTTTCTTTTCTATTTTTTTGCTCATTTTCTTCTTTTTTTCACTTTCTTTTTTCTCCGTTTGTTTGTATTTTTTTTCAGTGTCACTCTCATTCTTTTCTATTTCGATATTATTTTCATCTGTTAATATCTCCTTCTTTTCTATTTTTTTGCTCTCGTTCTTCTTTTTTTCATTTTCTTTATTCTCCGTTTGTTTGTAATTTTTTTCAGTGTCATTATCATTGTTTTTTATTTCGCTATCATTTTCCTCTGTGTCAATCTCCTTCTTTTTTATTTTTTTGGTCATTTTCTTCTTTTCTTCACTTTCTTTTTTCTCCGTTTGTTTGTATTTTTTTTTAGTGTCACTCTCATTATTTTCTATTTCACTTTCTTTGTTTTCTGTTTCAATCTCTTTTTTTTCTTTTTTTTTCTTCTCTTTCGTCTTCTTTTCTCTGTTTGTCTTTTCTATTTCACTCTCTTTCTTTTCTATTTCGCTATCATTTTCCTCTGTTTCAATCCCTTTCTTTTTTATTTTTTTGTTCATTTTCTTCTTTTCTTCACTTTCTTTTTTCTCCGTTTGTTTGTATTTTTTTTTAGTGTCACTCTCATTATTTTCTATTTCACTTTCTTTGTTTTCTGTTTCAATCTCTTTTTCTTCTTTTTTTTTCTTCTCTTTCGTCTTCTTTTCTCTGTTTGTCTTTTCTATTTCACTCTCTTTCTTTTCTATTTCGCTATCATTTTCCTCTGTTTCAATCCCTTTCTTTTCTATTTTTTTGGTCATTTTCTTCTTTTCTTCACTTTCTTTTTTCTCCGTTTGTTTGTATTTTTTTTTAGTGCCACTATCAGTCTTTTCCATAACGCTCTCTTTTTTCGATTTTTCATCATTAACATTGGAGATCGGCACTATAATATAATAATTATTATTAAGATTAAGATGTATATACAAAATACATTTTGAATGGAAAAATTGCTTGATGTACAAGTTTTCTTAAAAAATGAATAATTTTAAATAATATATTTTTTTAAAATCTACATTCAATTGAAGCAAAAAATTTTTTATTTTTATATGTTATATAATCATTTTTAAAATGTCAAAATAAATACTATATAAAAAATATTTAATTATCAAAAATTGTATTTAAGAAGACAAACAAAAATTTAATTACCTTCTGAACCGATAATATTTTTTGGTTCTGCAATTGTTGTTAATAATTGCTTTTCCAATATCTTTTTGGTATTCGCCCTCATGGATTTTTTAATTTTTTCAGCTGCCTTTTCCGCATTTGTTTTTTTTTTAGGAACATTTAATTTTGTCTTTGGAATTAGTTTTCCTTCTGTGGAGATGTCCATTTTTTCCAAAAAAATTTTATCTTCTAAAAATTTTTAAAAATGATATTTTTTACTATTTAATAAAAAAATAAAAGAAAAAAATATAATTCAATATAAATATATTATAAATATAAATAAATAAAATGTGTTTCTTTAATTTATAAATGAATAAATACATATAAAATATATTTTAAAATAATATTAAAGATTTTAATATAACTAACGACAATAATAAATAAATATAAAAAATAATATAAATAAACTGAAAATAAATTTCCTATTTTATAATTATTTTTGCATTAAATAAATAAATATTAATTGTTTTATACACTGAGAATAAAGTTTTTACTTACCGCTACGTTTAATCAAAACTGCGTCGAATTTTTTTTGACCATACATTAATTGTACAATATCTCCTTCATTTTTTTCAACTAAATTTGGAGGTTCCTCCATTATAGTAATTTTTTTTGAGATTATCCAGTGCACCAACACATACATTTTACGCGAAGTTTTAATATTGATAATATTTTTAAGCTGTCAGATTTATTGTATCGTTTTTATTATGTGAAGAGAAAACAAATGAAGTTTCAATAAATCGATTATTTTTTATATTAGTTAATTTGTTTTATTATTTGATATGTTTTTGACAGTTTCAAATTATAAAAAATATTAATTATTAATAATTAAATACTTATTTGTATTTACAAATAAATTTAGTAAATATGGAAAGTCATGTAAGGCATTTTGACCAATATTCTTTACGTCAGCAACGAAGAATTGCTGCTCAATTGAGAGAATCAAGCTCGGACGATTCAACTGATTCAAGTGATGCAAATGATTCAGACAATTCTCTTTCGGTAAATTTTGTAATAAATTAATTACATTAAATTAATTTTTATGATTAATGTAACAAGTACTATGTTCTAAAAATCTAGAAAAAAAAGAATGAGAAAAAAATATTTATGAAATGCCTCATTTACACATTATTTTTATTATATTTTTCTATAATTTTTTAATAAAAATTATTAAAACTAATTTTTTTAATAAATTATTTTTTACAATAAGTTATTTATTTCATTTTATTGCTAAGTTAATTTTTTTTCCATTAAAAATGTTTAAGTTTTATAATTGTAATTATAATAATAAAAAAAAAATTTATTTATATAAAACTTTGAAAAATTTTATTAATTTAAACTATGGTCAATAATTTTGATAAATTAGACAGTAAACATCAGTTACCATTTGCAGGCAAATTTTTCTCGTTGTGATAGTTTTATCTAACCTGTATAATTTAATTAGGATTTTAATGTAGAAGACCAGGAAATGAATGATGATAATGATGCTCTGCATGGTGTTAATGAAATGGAGTTTTCTGATGAAAATATGAGTGTTAATTCTATTAGTATTGGAAGTAACTCAAACACTGATGAAGATGATGAGAACATTGAAACATCAGATGATGGTAATGATTGTTTTTATTATACGTAAAATGGACCCTTTTATATCCATTGAACTGAAAATCATCGAAATATTTCAGTCATTTTTAGTCAATTTTTTCTAATTATACATTTTGCATCATATACAGTATCCCAACCAAAAATTTAAGTGTTATACCAGAGTTGACTACTGGCGCAGTACTGATTGAGTATTGGTTGCCGAGGCTGGGCAGTCTGTACTGAACAAGTACTGGTATTTTCATTGTATCATTACTGTTGTAGTACCACCCTCCCAGTACTGGCAAACCCGTACTGAGCCGATATTGAGCCAGTACTGAGTCAAATAGATTTTCTTTTTGATTAATACTAGTTTAAAAAAAGTTCTAGAGTGAACCCGATGAATCTTTTTGTTTAAATATTTTGTTTATAAAAATTTTTTCAACTTGATTTTATTTTTTAAAATTAAAATGTACTTTATTTTGCTTTTCTGTGGGTAAAATTATTTAAACAAAAAGTTTCCTGAGACCAAGTCTAAAACATTTTGCAAGATTTTCTTATTGTTTTCAGATACGCAATAAACCAAAAAAAATTTAAACGATCAAACTAAAAATAAATAAATTTGTTTATAAAAAATTTATATTTTTTAAAATAAAATTTATAATATATAAATTTAATTTAAAAAATTAAATACAATCGCAAGTAAAATTGCACAAATGTTATATTATCAATAATATAAAATATATAATTATATCCTTTCTTAATGGAAATTATAAAAAATAGTTAAACCTACAAACTTATATATTTTAATGGTCAATAAAATTATTGTAATTTGTTTCTGGATGTTCTTTAGTTTTTTTCCAAAAGTGAATTATAAACAAAAATTTAATGTTAATTTAAAAATAATTTGGATAATTTTTTTAATAATTAATTTCAGAAATTTAGTATTCATTATTTATTAAATCATTATATTTGTGATGAGTTAATTTCTAAACTTATTTTTTTATGTAAATTGAATTGAATTCAATGTTAATTTATTTATATTTGATATAATAATTAATAAATTAAAGTGAATAATAAAATAATTAAATAGTTAATTGCATAATTATATACATTATAATTATTTTATAAACATTTTTATTTTTACTGAACTGTTTTTATATATTATAAAAACTTTGGTTTTATAATAAACATATTTTTATATTTATTTTTTGATTTTTTAAAATAATAATTTGCAATATATATTATATTTAATAATATAAAAATTCTTGGTGTTTACAATTTTATATATAATAAAATATTAATTAGTTAGTTAACTAATTTAATTAATATTTAATTTGTGTTGGGTTACTAAAAATTTCAGACACTTTTTCCTAAGTATACCAAAAAAGTATTACCTGGAGTGAAACTTATCTCTGTTACAGTTAAAGCTTTCTTTTCGTATACAATAAATTACAAAACTGCCAGTACTCGGCCAGTACTGAACCAGTAGTGGTTACCAGTGCTAGTGCCAACTCTGGTAGCCAATACTGGTAAAATGTTATTATCCCAAAGTTACTCCACCTCTGGCGCCAATACTGGGTGCAAGTACTGCGCCAGTATTTGTCAGTACTGCGCCATTAGTAAATTTTTGATTGGGATGCTTTAAAAAATTTTTAACTGAAAAACAAAGAGTATAAAAATATAAATAGTAACATACTAAATGCAATAATTGTGATTGTTTTTGAAGTATTATACGTCAATAATATATTAGAAAACTGTTTCGTACACTGATAGTGTAAAAATATAATTATAATAAAAAATCAATAAGAATAAACGGGGGCGAAATTATTTCATTTTTTTTATGATGTAGGTATTGATATCAATTCCATATAGTTCTTATGTCTATATGAAGTTAGATCTGTAAAGTTAAAATTTAAAAACAAAACAAATTTTGTGAAGAATTATACTCCACTTGTGCTCTTTTGTGCAAAAATTCAAAAATTTTTAATTCCAAAAAAGTTGGTTTTCCATGAAAAGTATAAACTAGTTTTTCAAAAATTTTAATTTTGAAAATTTAAAAAAACTTTTTTGAAAAGTATAAACTAGTTTATCGAAAATTTTAATTATGAAAGTTTAAAAAAACTTTTTTGATTTTCTTGACCGGAATTTTCAGTTATTAGAAAATTAATTTTTGCACTAAAGAGTACAATATTTGTTTTGTGAAAATTTTAACTTTACCGATCAAACTTTCTGGACATATAGTTCTTTCCTTTTAGGGGCCATTTATTAATTACGTAAGGGTCCTTAGGGAATGGGGGGGTAGAAGCTATATTTTCCATTTGTATTGTTGTAATTAAATTTTTTATTTACATTAAGATTGTTAAAAACTTCACCTTTAATAATAATACGTTTTTACGAAGACTAAATAATTATTATTTAAAAAATAAAAAGTTTTTAATTTAGGTCAGATATAAAGTGTTTATTGTACCCGAATCTTTTTTCACGACATTTAATGACGATTTAATGCTTTTTAGAAGATCTCTTGGTAAACTCTTACTTAAGAAGGGGAAGGAGGGGTCCGAAAAATCTTGTGTCCTTATATGGGGGTAGGAACGGTTAAATTTAGCCAAAATCGTCCGAACGTAATTAATGAATTGCCTCTTACTCCTTATGCTTTCAAACATGAATTTAAATGACAAAAATGAACTTTTTTACTCCATTTTACCCAATTTCGATTTTTACTATTTTATTTATAAAATTTATTATAAATTAGAATATTTCGATGCTGAAGAAGATATCATACTTTCTGAGGAAGAGAGTGATTTGAATTTAAGTTCAAATGATGAAGATGATGAACATGATAATGATGCAGGAAACGATGTTGATAATGATTCCGATAATGACGATAATGAAAATCAAGACCTTCCTCTTTATGAAGGATCACCAATAACAGTTAAAGAAAGTGTTTTATCTATTCTTGCTGTTGTATTACGATTTTCTCTTTCAGGTGTAATAACAGGTGCCATATTAGAATTGTTAACTATGCACTGTCCTGAACCAAATAATTGCAAGACAACCTTATACCACTTTAAAAAGTTTTTTGAAAATTTACATAGTCCACTAACTCGAAATTTTTACTGTTCATTTTGCTTGGAAAATCACGAAACAGAAATGTTACAGTGTCCACATTGTTTGCATGAAATTAAAAGTAGTTATTTTATAACAATTTCAATAATCTCTCAGCTTAAAGCTCTTTACAAACGACTAGGTTTCCGACAAAAATTACAGCACCGATTTAATAGAGTTAAATTAAATGTGGACAATATTGAAGATATATATGACGGAAACATTTACAAAGAGTTGTCTGAGCCTGGTAGACTTTTATCTTTCCCAAATAATATCTCTTTTTCATGGTATACCGATGGTGTACAGGTTTTTAAATCTTCAAAATTTTCATTCTGGCCTTTTTATCTAGTCATAAATGAACTCCCTTATGAACAACGATTCAAGAAAGAAAATCTCATTTTAGCTGGAATTTGGTTTGGAGAGAGTAAACCCTCACCTAACCAATTTCTGTTACCCCTACATGACGAAATTCTGCAATTGTCAAATGGCGTTGATATTGATATACCTGAAGGTGAAAATGAAATGATTAATGTGAAGGCTATGATTATATCAGGCACATGTGACCTTCCAGCGAAAGCATTGTTTCTTAATATGAAGCAATACAATGGGAAATTTGGTTGTCAAAAATGTAAGATTGAAGGAAGAAGAGAGGGATCTACCCAGGTTTATCCATATCAACGTAATCTGGAATACAGGACTGAAGCAGAAACATTAAGACATGCTCAAGTAGCTACTGATGGACACCCTGTTTGTGGTGTAAAAGGCCCTACCATTTTGACCCTCTTGGTTTATCAATGGATTAGAACAACAGCTATAGATCCTATGCATTGCGTGTTTATCGGTGTTTTCAAATCACTTTTAACCCTTTGGTTTGATTCTTCTCACGTAGGCAAACGTTACTCCATTCACGAGAAAGTTGACGCTATTGATGAGCTCATTAAAAGTATTAAACTACCCCGATTTGTTCCAAGACGACTTCGTTCAATAAAAGAACATTTAAAATACTGGAAAGCATCAGAGTTTAAAGTTTTCTTCTTTTATGTGTGTCTTATAGTTCTAGAAGATGCTTTAAACCCTGAATATTTTGAGCATCTGAAATTATTAGTTAACGCTATATATCTTCTTAGTCAACCAAGCATATCGGAAGTTATGATAAATAATGCTGATCGAATGTTGCATGAATTTCTGTCTAGATTTGAGTATCTTTATGATGCTCGAAACATGACAAACAATTTGCATTCGGTGCAACATTTTCCTCGTGCTGTTCGTGAAAAGGGTCCTCTATTCGTAGATTCTTGTTTTACCTATGAAGACATTAATGGAAAATTAAGAAATTTAGTTCATGGGAGTAAAGGTGCTCAGCTTCAAATTTATTTTGGTGCATCATTATATATCAACACGTACACATTAAATCAAGACGAACTTAATGAAGGGTCTCGACCTCACGATTTTTGTAAAAAGTACATATGTTGTACTAAACAATTAAAACTGCAACGAATTCAAGAAAATTTATATGTCGTTGGCGGATTCTCAAAAATGGAAATTCCAAATGACGTCCAGCAGACACTTTTAGATCATAGAATTGGAGGTACAAAATACAAAGTATTCAAAAAATTATTTAAGGACAAAAGAATATATACATCTGAAATATACACGCAAGCAAAAGTAACTAATTCTAAATGTGCACAATATACTGCGAATGATGAATGTAGATTTGGCATTATTCGACTATTTATCAAAGTCTTAATTTGCGAATGTCGAATTAATTGTGATTGCCCAGCAATATTTTATGCTATCATTAGAAAATACCGAAACGAACTAGCTTTCCCTACAACAGTTCTTCCACAAATTGGTTTAAATTTTATTCATAGAATATATGAAATCCCAAATCAAATGGATGTTATAAGAGTAGAAAACTTACAAACTGTGTGTTTTTTTATAAACGTTCAAAAAGAAGATATTTTAACAACATTCGTTTCACAACCTGTGAATGTTATTGAAAATGAATAAAAATTGATACATGTAAACAAGCACACATTATATAAAAATATTCACCACAATTTTGGCTAAATAAAATTAAAAGTTTTTAACTAAGCACACAATATAAAAATATTCGCCACAATTTTGGCTAAATAAAATTTAAAATTTTCGGCTGAAATTAATCGTCATCTTTATCATTATATTTTCGAAAAAACGAAACATTTAAAAATACATCTTTCAAAGTTTCAATATTTCTGTTGTAAGAAGGCAGACATAGTTATCACATGGAATTTCAGAAGAATATGTAGGTTAGTATACAAGAAAATTTACTTCAAAATAGTAAAATTTTCTTGTAGCCCGTTTTTACAATACAGCTGTATAAAAACATTCTGCGCAGATGTAGAATATATTTACTGCCTTTAACTTTTCGGCAGATTAAATTTATTCACACGGTGAAAACGGGCTATCAAATAAGTACAAGTACATTGGTTTTCTTGATTTAATACTATTTTCTCTATTTACAGATTTCATGTAAGGTTTATTTTTTGCAACTAGAAAATTATCGAGGAATTAAACCTAAAAATTCTTGTATCAAAAAGAGAAAAATTTATGAGGACAAATTATAACTCTTCAAAATTTTCTAAATGCTTAAACCGTCGACAGATACCTCTACCAAATTAATTGCTTGCTGTCGCTAGAAGTCATGCGCTCTTTAAAAATCAAATGTTGAAGGGAGTCTTATATGTTGATTTCGATTAATAAACATTGATATCATTTAAAAGCACAAATTTTAGTTTTTAAGAAACTATTTCAAAATTTATATATAACAATGAAATCTTAGTTTCTTAAATTGTTGACGAACACTTTCAATTTTTTTAGATATTAATACAGAAAAAGAAAGCTAATATTAAAAAGTAAAATTTATTAAAATCATACACATTTAACTACAATAAAACTACAAAAAAAGAACATTTTCATGATTATAAAAATATGTATATTTCGATTTATTACATTTTTATTTTGTCATTGTAAACAAACTTAAATCAAAATCTTAAAATGTAAAAGTATTTTGATTTGTCATTTTCATTATTTACAATTAATATTATTCAACAATATTATTTATATTATCGCTCATATATATTAAGAAAATGGTTTATGTATTTATTAATCACTTCATAAATAGCATTAATAAAAAAAATTCAACTTGATTTAATATATGAACTACTTATTTTTAATTTTCAGCGTGCAATAATGAAGGGCGGACATTGTTTCTGATTAAAATTTTCTGGTCTAGATAAAGTGCATATAATGTTTAATACAGATAGAAAAATTAAACTTTTTTTATATTTAATAAAATCATTTTATCCTTGATGTTTCTTTAACTTTTATTTTCCATTCAAAATAAAATTTCCTTTCAAATAAAAAACAGGGCCATTAATGAGAAAAAAATTTCTCTTCTTTAAATAAATTTTTTATTTGAATCAAAAAAATTAGTGCTTTAAAAAACAGAATTTTATGAATTGATCCAGGGACAATGAAATAATTCTTAAATAAAAACTAACAATTTCTCTGAAAAAAGAATTTTTTTGACATAAAAAATTTCTAATTCAAAAAATCGGAGAAATATTTCCTATAGGTCGCTAGCTTCTAGCCATGGTGTGAGTTTTCAGAAATGCAAAATAAAATTTTCCCATAGTTCGATAACTTCAAGCCATGTTTAAAGTTTTCAAACTTTTCAAAAAAATTTTTCCCATACTTCGATAGTTTCTAGCCATGGTTTAAGTTTTTAAAATAAAAAAAAAAATTCCCATACTTTGTTAGCTTTTAGCCATGGTTCAAGTTGTCAAAATTTTCAAAAAAAATTTTCCCATACTTCGATAGTTTCTAGCCATGGTTTAAGTTTTTAAAATTAAAAAAAAATTCCCATACTTCGTTAGCTTTTAGCCATGGTTCTAGTTGTCAAAATTTTTCAAACAAAATTTTCCCATACTTCGATAGTTTCTAGCCATGGTTTAAGTTTTTAAAATTAAAAAAAAATTCCCATACTTCGTTAGCTTTTAGCCATGGTTCTAGTTGTCAAAATTTTCAAAAAAAAATTTCCTATACTTCGATAGTTTCTAGCCATGGTTTAAGTTTTTCAAATAAAAAAAAATCCCCATACTTCGTTAGCTTTTAGCCATGGTTCAAGTTGTCAAAATTTTCAAAAATATTTTCCCATACTTCGATAGTTTCTAGCCATGGTTTAAGTTTTTAAAATAAAAAAAAAATTCCCATACTTCGTTAGCTTTTAGCCATGGTTCTAGTTGTCAAAATTTTCAAAAAAAATTTTCCCATACTTCGATAGTTTCTAGCCATGGTTTAAGTTTTTAAAATAAAAAAAAAATTCCCATACTTCGTTAGCTTTTAGCCATGGTTCTAGTTGTCAAAATTTTCAAAAAATATTTTCCCATACTTCGATAGTTTCTAGCCATAGTTTAAGTTTTTCAAGTAAAAAAAAAATTCCCATACTTCGTTAGCTTTTAGCCATGGTTCAAGTTGTCAAAATTTTCAAAAATATTTTCCCATACTTCGATAGTTTCTAGCCATAGTTTAAGTTTTTCAAATAAAAAAAAAATTCCCATACTTCGTTAGCTTTTAGCCATGGTTCAAGTTGTCAAAATTTTCAAAAATATTTTCTCATACTTCGATAGTTTCTAGCCATGGTTTAAGTTTTTAAAATTAAAAAAAAATTCCCATACTTCGTTAGCTTTTAGCCATGGTTCTAGTTGTCAAAATTTTTCAAACAAAATTTTCCCATACTTCGATAGTTTCTAGCCATGGTTTAAGTTTTTAAAATTAAAAAAAAATTCCCATACTTCGTTAGCTTTTAGCCATGGTTCTAGTTGTAAAAATTTTCAAAAAAGAATTTCCTATACTTCGATAGTTTCTAGCCACGGTTTAAGTTTTTCAAATAAAAAAAAATCCCCATACTTCGTTAGCTTTTAACCATGGTTCAAATTGTCAAAATTTTCAAAAATATTTTCCCATACTTCGATAGTTTCTAGCCATGGTTTAAGTTTTTAAAATTAAAAAAAAATTCCCATACTTCGTTAGCTTTTAGCCATGGTTCTAGTTGTCAAAATTTTTCAAACAAAATTTTCCCATACTTCGATAGTTTCTAGCCATGGTTTAAATTTTTAAAATTAAAAAAAAATTCCCATACTTCGTTAGCTTTTAGCCATGGTTCTAGTTGTCAAAATTTTCAAAAAAAAATTTCCCATACTTCGATAGTTTCTAGCCATGGTTTAAGTTTTTAAAATAAAAAAAAAATCCCCATACTTCGTTAGCTTTTAGCCATGGTTCAAGTTGTCAAAATTTTCAAAAAAAATTTTCCCATACTTCGATAGTTTCTAGCCATGGTTTAAGTTTTTAAAATTAAAAAAAAATTCCCATACTTCGTTAGCTTTTAGCCATGGTTCTAGTTGTCAAAATTTTCAAAAAAAAATTTCCCATACTTCGATAGTTTCTAGCCATGGTTGAAGTTTTTCAAATAAAAAAAAAATTCCCATACTTCGTTAGCTTTTAGCTATGGTTCAAGTTGTCAAAATTTTCAAAAATATTTTCCCATACTTCGATAGTTTCTAGCCATGGTTTAAGTTTTTAAAATTAAAAAAAAATTCCCATACTTCGTTAGCTTTTAGCCATGGTTCTAGTTGTCAAAATTTTCAAAAAAAATTTTCCCATACTTCGATAGTTTCTAGCCATGTTTTAAGTTTTTAAAATTAAAAAAAAATTCCCATACTTCGCAAGCTTCTAGCCGTTGTTCAAGTTTCCAAAATTAAAAAAAAAATAAAATTTTTTTCGCCATAGTTTGCTAGCTTTTGGCCAAAGTATATTTCCGTCTAAAGACGATTATGAACTATGGGATACGGCCATAAGCAATGGTTTTCTAGCTTTTGTCCATAGTTGAAAATATGGCTGGGGGCTTACTTACTTTGGCTGAAAACTTTACCCTATACTTTTCTAGATTTTAGCCATACTTTCATTTTTACGCGGGTAGTATTATAAATATGAAAATGATGAAATGAAGTGAACAATGTAACCGCACTTTTCACTCACCACAAAAATTAAAGTCTTTGGATTATAGTGGAAACACAAACCCTGACAAAAACTCAAGGTGCAATTGGACGATCACTAAAGGGAATGGGTAAATTTACCATGACCAGGTTTTTTTTCACCGTCCGTGCCTTTGATATATTCGAACTGTCAAACTTTTTGTTACTCGCAGACTACAAGTCGCAAACACAAAAATCATATTTATAGCAAGTCACTTTCTAATAAACTGAACTAATTCACTGTAATTTTTGTTTGGATTGAAAATTTTCACATTAAGTTTCGTTTCTATCACAAACGTGGTTGGTAAATTTAAAAATTAATATTTTTTGAACGGAAATAAGCAATACTAGAAGACTTAAAAGTAAAACAGTTTTGACATGTCTAATTTTAATTAATAAATATAAATTCACATTTTCTGTAGAAAAATGGTGTAGAATGAGGTAACTTTACCTCGCATGGCTGAAAACATGAAAAAATAAGTAGTTACATTGCAATACGAAATGTACACTTATTGACAGATAGCAGTCATCTCGAGTCAAAAAAGTTTAATTGTTTAAGTATATCGAAGTCACGGACGGTGAGAAAGTCCTAGTCAGCAATTAGATGGTAACAAATGGGAAAAGGTAAATTTACCCTTTTCCTCTTGTGATCGTTTAATCGCTTTTGAGTCTTCTTCAAGTTTTCCCCAGGGTTTGTGCTTTTAATATAGTCAGAGAATTTTATTTTTGTAATGAGTGGAAAATGCGGTTTCATTGTTGATTTTATTTCATTATTTTAATAATCTTTATAAGTAAAATCAGACTTTTGTCTATACATTGCTCAAAATTCAAATTTTTTAACATAATTTGTCATTTTGAACATTAAGGATTCCTATAATGACCATAAATAATTCCATGTCATTATGTGTGTGTATGTATATCACATAATTTTTGTCCGGGAATCACTAATAAAACGGCAGAACCAATTTGAAGCCAAATTCAGCAGAGTATTAGATCTTGTCTCAAATTAAGTTTTATAATGTTACGAAATTGAAAAATATTCATTAGTACGGGAAATATTTAACTTTTTCTAAAATTCCAAAAATTCAAAATATTTCAAATTATGAATTTTAAATAGATTTTTTTTTGGTTAAAAAAACAATAAATAATCGTGTTTATTAATATGAAACCCTTAGATAATTTATAATTACAATTGTATTTATTAGTAAATTATTACAAATCAAACATTCATTAAATGTATTACTTAAAATGACATAGATTTTGTTAAAATTAATACAATTTTCAAAATGAATTTAAAATTTTTATTTATTTTTGTGTTCAATTTGTTCACATTCTCATTGTTTACATTTCACAACTTTGACATATACCATATAAATTTTTTTTTTAATCACTGTTAATTAAAATAATAATAATTTTAGTTTCAATGACGATTTTAATATCAATGATTTATATTAACAATTTTCTCATACTGTCATTTCAAAAAATGCAAGTATAACCTATAGTTTTTTGCTTCTAAGTTCCTTTCTCTTCATTCTTATCACAATATATCCAGTCATATTTTTGCTGTACATTATTTTTTTGTATGAGTATATGGCGCTTTTTTATATAAAAAAAGGTAAAAGTACTTTTTTTCAATATTTCTAAAATTAGTGGGGCGATGTAGTGCACCACTTTCTTAGAAGTAATAAAATCTCAATATATATATATAATATATATGTCTGAAACAATTTTTATCCAACTTAATAGAATTTTGAAAACATTAGAATCTTTTAAAATTATGAAGAAGGGACTTCTTTCGTCCTACGTTAAATAAAAGTTGTAGAAAACTGCAAAAATTGTGAAAAAACGAGAAGATGAGGAAATCGACGCTTTGTTTAATATTTTGAAATATTTCCGTCAACATTCTCGTTTTTTTTTGTAAAGCTTGAAAATATCGGAACAGCTGCGATTTCGTTTTACTTGAATCTTAAACATTGTTTCTTTAGCTATTTTCTCAACAGCTTTTTGATGCTTTAATTCACCTTTATTATTATCTTTCTATTTTAAAAAATGAAGAGTAGTTTTTTAAAAATCATAAGCTACGTTTTCTTCTTATGTCATTCTATTCTTAAAAAATTGAAAAAAATTATTGTTAAATAATATATATTAACAAAACTTTTTATATTTCTCCGAACAAAATGCACTACAATGCCCCAAAGCAGTTTCCTTACTCAGACTTTAATATCTGAATAAAAACAAAATGAAACATCAAAAGAATACTAAATCTAAAAGCAAAAATATCATTTTCAAAGCTAGTATCTTCAAACTGACGCCTTAATCTTCTTTTAAGACGCATAATGAAACGAAAATGATGTATATAAACAACATTTGTCACCCTAAACTCGCTATACCATCGGCAAGTTATTCCATTCATTCCCTTGATGGGTAGAGCCAGTGCACCACATTGCCCCCTCCTACTCTAAGCTTGCTTAAATTTCTCTTACATTCAACTTAGTACGAACAGTTGCGCACATCTCCATTTGAACGAATTTTCCATGCATAGAAATGTGTTTTCTAAAATTTCGTAATTAAAAAAGGATCTCCAGATTCACAAACACTTTCATTAACATACACATTCCAAAACGAGAAAAATTTGTTTAAATAATTAATTACAATTTCATAATTTCAAAGATCACAAAACTTTCGCCATGAAAAAGAAAAAGTTTTTAATTATGAATGAAGCATCTAAACAAAACTATATTTGATTATGCTTATTTTAGGAGACAATGAAGGATTCAGTGAGGATCTGATGAATCTACCGAAGTATGAGACCTTTGATAATATAACAAACACAGGACAGAAGGTAAAGTTTAATAGCATGATACAATGGTTTTGAGCCATGTTTAATATAAAACAGACGACGTTTCGGTGTTCAGGTTCGCTACCATCATCAGGTCACTATAATAAAAAAATTTTTTTAAATTAGAAAACATTTTTGAAATATAAATCACAAAATTAAACAAAAAACAATTTTTTCTTCTTTACCTAATTTTTACCTAATTAGTTAGTCTGACTAATTACCTTCATTTAACATGTTGGTGATTTGTCCTTTATTTAAATGTAATTTTTTTGACGTTATGTGAAAATTTGTTGATTGTAATTAGGTAAAAAAGAAAAAATTGTTTTTTGTTTAATTTTGTGATTTATATTTCAAAAATGTTTTGTAATTTAAAAAAATTTTTTTATTAAAGTGACCTGATGATGGTGGCGAACCTGATGAAATATTAAAATCAGATCAAGTACTTACTTTTAATTATTTCTTAACAAAATTTTATAAATTTTTGTCTTCATCCCAGTAAATAAAAATTGTGAGTAAGCGAAACCGAATTAGGAGTGACCTAAGCCCAATTCGTTTTGGGTGGTTGCACCGGGCGGACACTTTAATATTACAGTAATATCACAGTAACATTACCTGGTAACACCGTCCGACACGATTTTTCACACACGAAAAAAACAATGATTTTCAGAAACTAGGACCAAAAAAAAAATACCCGTGTCTGGGCGTTTTGCTAGATCAGGTCATTTTTTGCATTTAGGGGTAAAAACAACCCTTAAATGAAAGGTGATAGGAAATCTTGTACAAATTAATAATTTTTTATGAAACCTGGTATCTCGGGGTTTTCCGGGTCGCTGATTACGAATCTGATGTCAGATTTTCAAAATTCAAAATGGCGGATCCAATATGGCGGTCGAAATTTATAAAAATTCACCAATTCATTTGAAAGTTGTTACTTAGGGGTTTTTGGGGTCGCTGATAACGAATATGATGTCAGATTTTGAAAATTCAAAATGGCGGATCCAATATGGCGGTCGAAATTAATAAATATTAATTATTTTTTGTAAAACTTGGTATCTAGGGGTTTTTGGGGTCTCTGAGTACGAATCTGAAGTCAGATTTTTAAAATTCAAAATGTCAGATTCAATATGGCGTTTGAAATTTATAAAAGTTCGTCGAATTCACTTGAAACTTGTTATTTGAAGATTTTTGGGGTTGCTGATTACAAATTTGATGTCGGGTTTTCAAAATTCAAAATGGCGAATCCAATATGGTGGTCGAATCTTTAAATCGTAAAAATAAGCGTCTAAAATTTACACAAACGTAATACAAGAGTTTTTATGAAATGTTTCTATTAATTTTATTCTATTGCATCATATTTGTTTCAGATTAAAAATCACTTAAAATAAAAATTTTAAAATGTTAGCTTGCAAATTTTAACAAAAAATTGATCGAACATTTAAATTTTCAAAATTATTTTTCAGATTTGTGATCTTCACCTTTATTAGATTTGGCGTTTTTATTATTTTTATCTGACATCACTTTCGTACTTAGAGACGCCGAAAGCCCTTAGATACCAAGTTTTACAAAAAATTAACAATTTTTATAAATTTCAACCGTCATATTGAGTCTGCCATATTGAATTTTAAAAATCTACAATCAGATTCGTACTCAGCGACCCCAAAAACCCAGAGATACAAAGTTTTATAAAAATCTAATAACATTTATAAATTTCGACCACCATATTCGATCCGCCATTTTGAATTTTGAAAACCCGACATCGAATTCGTTAT